AAAATAAAATATTTTATTTGACTGACGGCAATACACAGGATAAGGAATAGGGGAATAAATTACTACAACATAAGTAGCGGAAAATATTATATAATGGGAAAAAATATGTTGAAAAAAATATAATTAAAAAATATCAAATAAACTAATAATAATAATAATAATAATAACGTACGAGGTTTTTCCGGTTCCGGGCGAGAAAGTAAATAGAAGCAAAGAAAGCGTAGTGAAAGTTTTTGAGAGTGAAAAAGGGTGTGTGAAAGGAAAAGAGCGATAGAGAGCGAGTGAGAGGTGAGGGAGAGGGTTAGGAAAATTCGGGGTAGAGTCAAGGAGAGAGAAGAGAATAGGTAGACGAGAATAAAAAAGGGAGAAAAAGAAAAAGTAAATTTAGAGGTTAGGACAAGGCACGGGTAACGGGAGGAATTGTTGGGGTGAGAGTGGCGACACTGGTAGTGAGGGGAAAAAGGCAGAATTTCTAGCAAGGTGGATATCCCACGTCGGTAAGGAAGAAGAAGTGAATAGGATAGGAGAGAAAAAGGACCCAGTAAGAGAGAGATGGAAGAAAAGGAGATAGGAAAGAGGGGAAGACCCACGCTGGCGGAAAGTTTCAAAAGGCAGGGGAGGGAGAGAACTGCAAGCATGGGGAGTGTAGAGGAATTGTGGAAAAGAAAGAGGGAGAGTATAGGTGGTGAGGGTGAAGGGGGGAAGGAGGAGGAGGGATTGATATTTAGGAAAAGCCAAAAAACAGAAAGATCTCCGAAGGAGCAGGAGCAGGGAAGCAGGGTAGAGCTTCGGGGCCTGCTGACGGAGATAAAGGATGAAATGAGAAAAGGACTAAAACAGGTAGGGAAGGAGATACGGGAGAAGATGGAAAAAGGGAGGAACAATGGAAGGAAGAGAGGAAAGGGATGTGGGAAAAAATGGAGGATTTAAGTAAGAGACTGGAAGAAGTAGAAGGAAAGGGAAAAGAGATTAAGGAACTAGAAGTGAGGGTAACGCAGATAGAGATGGGGGAGAACCGTGGAGAGGGGCAGAGGGGAGAAGAGAAGGAGATAAGGGATAGGGTGAGAGGGATAGAGAAAAAATTGGAGGCAAAAGAAAGAGAGGAAAGAAAGAGAAATCTGGTAATAAAAGGAGTAAAGGTAGGAAAAGAGGGAATCAGGAAGGAAGCCGAAAGAATATTAAGAGACATAGGAGCGGAGAGAGAAATAGAGGGGGTAAGAAAGATAGGGGCGTAGGGAAAAGAGGGGGAGGTGAAAATGATATGGGTAAAAATGAAAACAACAGAGCAAAAATGGGAGGTGATGGATAAGAAAAAGAAGCTAAGGGACAGGGAGGTGAGGATAGAAGAGGATTTAACTTGGGATGAAAGGAGGACGCAATAGAAATTAAGGAGAATAGCAGGAGAAAAAAGCAGTAAGGGGAAGAACGTATGGGTAGGCAGAGGAAGGATAAGAATAGAAGGGAAGTGGTGGAGCTCGGATGATGAGAAAGAAAGATTAATAGGCGAGGGGAGGGAGGGGAAAGAGAAAGACAGAAGGAAAGAGGGGCAGAGGGAGAAAAAAGGGGAGGGTGATGGAAAAGGAGCAGAAAGAGAGAGTAGGTGGGAAGAGGGAGGGGATGGACGAGGGAGAGGGGAAGAGGAGGGGAGGCAGAGAGAAAAGAGACGAGAGAAAATGGGACATGACCAGGAGGGAAGAGGGGGGAGGAATATGGAAGATAGCCTTCTGGAATGTAGCGGGTCTGAAGAACAAGGACAGAGACTTTTGGCAGAGAGTAAGGGAATGGGATATAATGATATTGATGGAGACGTTGTTGGATGAAAAAGGGTGGAAAAACATGAAGGGAAAGATGCCGAGGGGATACAAATGGAGGGCGCAGGTAGCGAGTAAGAAAAACAAGAAGGGGAGGGCGAAGGGGGCGATGGTGCTAGGGATAAGAGAGGGACTAGAATTGGAGTCAGGAGGAGAGATAGAAGAAAAGGGACAGGGAATAATGAAAGGCGAAGGGAAAATAGGGGGGGAGAGGTGGGAAATAATGGAAGTGTATGTAAAAGGGGACATAGAAGATAAGATGGGGAAGCTGAGGGGGTGGATGGAGGAAAGGAGGGAGGGCGTAGTGAAGTTAGTTGGAGGGGACTTCAACGCAAGAACGGGGAAGGAGGGCGGGAGAATATGGGGGGTAGGGGAAGAGGAGGGAGGAAGAAAGTCGAAAGACAAAAAAGTGAATGCAGAAGGAAGGAAATTATTGGAAAGGATAAATGGGACAGGATGGGATAAATTGGGAACGGGGGGATAAGGGGTGATGAGGATGGTGAATTTACTTACACAGGAGGGAGGGGGGACACTATAATCGATTACGTGATAGGAGAGGAGGAAGCGTGGGAAAGGGTAGAAAAACTAGTAGTAGGAGAGGCGGTGACGTCAGACCACCACCCGCTAATAGTGGAAATCCGAGGCAGAAGGGAGGGAGGAAGAATAATAGGGGGAAAAAGAAAATGGAGTGGACGGAGGAAGCAAAGGAGAGATTTAAGAAACGACAAAGAAAATCGGGAGGGCAATAGAAAAAGGGATGGAAGGGGAAGAAGAAGAGGGTGGAAAGGAAAGAGAGGGTGGTGGGACGAAGACTGCAAGGAAAGAAAAGAAGAGGTTAGGAAGGCCCTGAGGAAGTGGAGAAAAGGTGAAAAGGATAGGATGGACTACAGAAGAAAGAGAAGAGAGTATAGGCAGCTGTGTGATGAAAAAAAGAAAGAGGAGACGAGAAGACTAGAGAAAGAGGTAGAGGAGGCAAGGACGGAGGGGGAAGTATGGAAAATTATAAAGTCAGAGAGAAGGAAGAGAACAGGAGTAAATGAAGGAATCGGACAAGATGAATGGAGGGAACACTTTATGGGTATGCTAGGAGGGGTGGATAGTAAAGTAGTGAGAGGAGGAAAAAGAAGAGGGGAAGAGGATGGGGAAGAGGGGATAACGAAAGAGGAGTTTGACAGGGTGATACGAAAGTTGAAGAGAAACAAGGCAGCAGGGGAGGATGGAGTCCCAAACGAAATCTGGATGTTAGGTGGGGAGGAAGCAAGAGACTGGGCATGGAAAATATGCAATAGAGTATGGAGAGGAGAAGGCTGGCCAGAAAAATGGAAAGGGGGGATTATAGATCCGATAAAAAAGAAGGGGTCGGGAGAAAAAGCGGAGGACTACAGAGGAGTAACGCTAATGCCGACTTTGTACAAAATTTACGCATCGGTGTTAGCAGAAAGATTGAAGGAGGATACGGAAGAGAAAGAGGTGCTACCACAATGTCAGACAGGATTCAGGAAGGGAATGGGAACAACGGAAAATATTTACGTGCTCAACTACCTAATAATAAATAGGCAGATAGGGAAGAAAGGAGGAGGGATGGTGGCGACGTTTGTAGACCTAAAGGCTGCATTTGACTTGATAGATAGGGAAACTCTGTTTAGGGCGATGAGGGAGAGGGGGATAAGAGAGGGAATAAGAAGAAGCGTGGAAGAAATTTATAGGGAGACATGGAGTAAGGTTAGGATAGGAGAAGATACAGGAGGAGCTTTTCGGACGGCAAAAGAGGTGAGGCAGGGGTGCCCGCTAAGTCCGTACCTATTCAATGTGCTGTTGGCGGACATAGAGGACAGATTTAAAGAGGAAGGGTGGGGAGGAATAAGAGTGGGAGGACAGAAAGTGTTCGTCCTAACATACGCAGATGATATGGTAATTCTGGCAGAAGAGGAAATAGGAATGGGTATGATGCTGAAAACGCTGGAAAAGTACCTAGAAGAGAAGAGATTGGTTTTGAACACCGGAAAAACAAAGATGATGAGGTTTAAAAAAGGAGGTGGCAGGAAAAAAGAATGGAGATGGATATGGAGTGGACAGCCAATAGAGGAGGTGAAGGAGTACAAGTACCTGGGATATGTAGTGGGGAGGAACGGGACACAAGGAAAACAAATAAGAGACAGAATTAAAAGGACAGCAGCAGTGATGAGACAGGTCTGGGGGATAGGGAAGAGGAGATTTAAAGCGGACTGGGAAAGGAAGATGTGGCTGTATGATAGGTTGGTCTGGGCGGTGATGAGCTATAGGGCGGAGGTATGGGGTTGGAGGGAGAGAGAAGAGATTGAGGCTGTACAAGATAGGTACCTGAGGTGGACGCTGGGGGTGGATTGGAGGACACCGGGTTACCTAGTTCGGGTAGCGACGGGGAGAGGAAAGATGAGGAGCTGGGCAGGAAAAAGAGCATGGCACTTTGAAAGAAAAATAGAGGAGGGGGGTGGTAATGGGTGGGCAAGGAAGTGTCTGCAGGAAATAAGGGAGAGGGCGAAAAGACGAGAGAGACTGTCAACTTGGGAGGAGGAGAGGATAGATTTTTTAAGAAAAAGAGGGGTGGAAGCAGAAGAAATGGAAAGGAGGGGAGGTTTAGGAGGTTGGGAATGGGAAGAGATAGAAAGAAGAGATAGGGAGGAACAGGAGAAGGAAAATAGTGAGAGATTAATAAACTCGAACTATAATAAGTGGTATAAGCAGGTAAAAAGCAGGGGTACGGCGGAGTACCTGAGGAAAGGATGGGGGAGACCAGGTGGCAGAGGATGGCAAGGTACAGGCTAGGAAACGAGGTGAGAGAAGGGAGATACTGGGAACCGGAGGAGAAGAGAAGATGTAGGTTATGCGAAGGGGAGGAGGAGACATGGGAGCATGTATGGGAAAGATGTGGAAGCGGAGGAGGGGGGGCGGGTAGTTGGCAAGAAAGAGTGAAGCAATTGCTGGGAGAGGAGGGGGAAGGAGAAGGATGGATGAGGGAGCTGGAGAAGGCAAGGGAAACAGGGAAAGAAAAAACAGCATAGGGAGGCGATAGGAGAGAAAGAGAAAATAAAGGAGCGAAAAAAGGGCGAATGAATGAAGGGAAGGTGTGCGAGAAGAGTGAATGGGAGGAACTGGAAACCTAGGGAGGAGATCAGGGGGTGAAATTACTACCGGTATGCTAAACCGCGGTTAGATATAAGGATAGAAATAAGGATAGGTGTAAGGATAAAACTAAGAATAGAAATAAGGTAGTATTAAGATAGAATTAAGATAGAATTAAGTTATAGTTAGAAAAGCGGAGAGAGAGAGGTCGAGCAGAGAAGCGAGCGATGGCGGCGAATAAGATTTTTAGCATATAAGTAGTAATACGTAAGAATAAGTTTGTGAAAATAAGTGTGAAGGAATGGTAACCCCAAGGGGAATCCAATAAAACCATACATACATACATAATAACGTACGAATAGGAAAGTAAAAACACGACTTACAGTATATCCAGCTTGATGCTGGTCCAGGTGGTACGGCTGTGGCTGCGACTGCGGCTGGTAAGGCTGGAAAAATAAATATTATATTATTATGTATAACAGAAATGAATAGCAGAAATAACGTACGAATAGGAAAGTAAAAATACGACTTACAGTATATCCAGCTTGATGCTGGTCCGGCTGCGGCTGGTAAGGCTGGAAAAATAAATATTATATTATTTATTTTAACAAAAATGAATAGCACAAATAATGTACGAACAGAAAAGTAAAAATACGACTTACAGTATATCCAGCTTGACGCTGGTCCGGCTGCGGCTGGTAAGGTTGCGGCTGGTGAGGTTGCGGCTGGTGAGGTTACGGCTGCGGCTGGAAAAATAAATATTATATTATTATGTATAACAAAAGTGAATAGCACAAATAATGTACGAACAGGAAAGTAAAAAAACGACTTACGATATACTGTGGCTGGTGCGGCTGCCGTCGCAGCGGCCGGTGCGGCTGCGATCGTTGCGGCTGAAAAAATAAATATTATGTTATTATGTATAAAAATAATGAATAGCACAAATCACATACGAACAGGGAAGTAAAAATACGACTTACGATATAGTGCACTTGATGCCCCCGCGTTTGCTGCAGCTCCAGTTGCACTACACGCTGCTGCAGTTGCAACAGCAGCGGATTCTCCTGCTGCAAATGGAGCTGCTGCAGTTGTTGTTGCAATTGCAACACCTGCGGTTCTGCCCGTTGTGGCTCCAGCCGCTGAGGCTCCGGCCGTCGGGGCTCCGGCCGTTGAGGCTCCAACCGCTGGGGTTCCGGTTGTTGCGGATCCTCCGGTTCTTTCGGAGTCTCCGGTTCTTTCGGACCTCTTTTGACCTCTAAAAAAAGATTGTAAAACATAAATAATACTGCAGAGAAATTTCAAATGTATTACAAATTATGAATGTTTATTGACAATTACATGTATTGAACTGAGTTGAATTACAAAATACGAATAAATTAGTTGACAGAAAAGTGGACCGTGTCAATGTATCATGAAAAAATAATCCGGAAGACAAAAATTTTCTCTGCACAAGTTATCGCACGAATATATACAGTTATCCAAACTATGACATTATCAAAGACAATATTATAATGTCTTCCTCGGCTTTGGTCACGAGCCGGATGCGTTTCACTCAATTTTTCATTATATTTTCACACAAGTGGATTTCAATTTCATCAATAGCTACTGATGAAGAAGGACCGTTCAATGATATTGTCTTTCATAATTTGTCATAAAATAGACTTTGTATTAAAATGAAGTAACCACACAAAAATCAAATACTTTGCGTTTTATTTCAATTTGAAGATGTGACAATTTCGATGACCCGATATATGAAACAAAGCAAATGTCGAAAAAAATATTTTTGTTACAAATGCTCACAGAATGTAGTTGTCAATGACAATCACGAAGTAAAGACGAAAAGAAAACACTTACTGGGAATTCGGTACTCCATTGGAATTTTTTTCATCTTCACTAGTTCGATGCACTCAGTGAACTGTCGCTGCCAGTGAAATTGGAAAACGCCACAGCGTTGGCGTTTCATTTTTGTTTCGTGCGCAGCGTGCTGGGGGAATGGCCCATGGTCCCAGTGCATGACCCGCGTTGCCATCCACTTCTTTCTAATACGTTTTCGCGATATCGGCGAAGACACATCGAAAGCATACTCATAAACCTAAATTTATATAAATATTTCTAACCATTTGTGCAAAAAATAAGCACAAATGGGAAATAAAAATGGTACAAATAAGAGGTTTCCGGGTGCGAGAAAGTTCTCCCTCAAAAAAGTTTATAGAAAACTGTAAGTGCTTACAATTTATACATTTCAGTAATTTGTGTGAATTGTCCTACAGATGTTTATAATCTTATTCATTGTACTTTGCAGGCGACAGGAACAATGGCAATCGTCGACATCGACGATTTCACCAACTGCAGTTTTCAAAGAGAAATTCTCTCTCGGAAGACTTATAAACAACGTAAAGGAGGTCGGTCAGACATATATGTCTGGCCACCAACTAATTTGTAAATTTAATAATAAAAACGTCCTTACCGAAAATAAAGATGCGGGGCCCATCTCACAATCAAAAAAGGTCCTTACCGAAAATGAAGATGCGGGACCCATCTCACAATCAAAAAACGTCCTTCGCGAAAACGACGAAACTGTCGTTGTACAATGCGATTTCACAAGTGTGAAACCCACTGTACAAAACGTCCTGAACGATCGACGACAATCTTGTCGTAGAGGCCGGACACGTAGATATGGGACGTATTTCGGAAAATGTGCCAGAAGGCCGCCGCATTGTTGACGTTCAGTTCTTTTCGAATGAAATACATAGAACGTTCGACAACCATGCGCGAGGTATTGAATGTCATTTTCGCGATTGAAAAATGATCGGTAGTCGCCAGTATGGGTGTCTGACACAGTTTTTCTTCAAGAACACATTGCAAGAAAAGACGTAGCGAACGCAATGAAAACAAGAATTCGAACTTGTGGACTTATCGAAGATGACGGTTTACTGGAACTGAAATGCCCACAATCTGCTGAGAATTTGACAGCGATAGACGCAATAGAAACAATACGTCACTCACGAAACATCTTCGATAAGAGAGATATACAAGAAATGAATAGCAAGCACCAGTATTTCTACCAAGGACAAGGTCAGTTGCATGTAACGCAACGGAAGTACTGCATTTTCGCTATTTGGACACCGAAAAGCACACATATGATCCGCGTAAATAGGGACGACGCGTTTTGGACAAATCATATGGAACCTTTCCTAACGCGTTTCTACGAAGAATGGATGCTTCCGGAAATACTGGACAGCCGCCACAATAGACACATGCCTATTAGAAATCCAGAATACATCCTACGGGCAAAAGAAGACGCATCTATTCAAAAATCTAACAGAAAAATCGCAAAAAAGCATAAATATGAAAACATGACACAGAACAGTGTTGAAGCATCAAATATGACCGTTGAAGCAGTAAATAGCGACTGTGTTATTGTCAGTCATTCAGTACAGGAAGAAAACTGCACAGATGATGCTGTACGATACTATATATTAGATACTGCTGTTTGTTCCGTAACTGATGTAAAGAAAAATGTAGTACCTGTGCAAAGTAAATTAAACGATGAATTGTTAGATCGATTTTAACGTGTGGTCAGAGAAACTACTCCTTTTGAAACGCAAAGTGTCCTATACTTACAGTTTACAAAATGTATCAATCCCTGCCGCAGTGACAAACGCGTACAAATAATTGGAGGTAACTGTTCTGATCACTGGCGAAGTATCTATTTCAACGGCCGCAAACTCCATGTATACGATAGTTTACCTGGCAGTGCATATGAGAAGCTCGTAGAGGAAGAAAAAAAATATATTGCGTTACGATTTCCTCATATTCGCAAAAAGGATATACTTTATGAAAGAGTTCAGGCGCAACCGGATTGTTACAGTTGTGGTGTATACGCGGCGGCATACATCACTACTATAGTTTTGGGTGGAAACCCTTGCTTAGAAAACTATTCCCATGACATACAGCGGCTGAGATGTCACTTCGTGAATATTATTGAAAATAATAGACTGTTGCCCTTCCCGATAGAATAAGGTAGTAATAAGATAGTGCAGGGGAAGAGGTTTTAGTGGGTAGTATATCACCCCTTCTGGGTGGTATGAGTCCCAAACTGCCCGAGCTTTCCCTTAGCCGAGTGCGAAAGGGAATGTCTTGGGCGTACGTAAACGTATTTCCTCTTCCATAAAAAAAAAAAAAAAAAAAAAAAAAAAAAAAATCAGGCTTATTAGCGAGGTCGTCAAGTCAATGTGAATTATTTGAATGTACGAAAGACATATTTTAAATTTTCATTATAGACTCACATAAAAAAGTTGGAAAATTACCCTTCGTTATTTTTTCCCACGATTTCGACAAACTATAATTTTTTAAAACAGCACAAGTACATATCTTAGTAAATTAATTTTTATAGCTTTTCAAAAAGCCTCAAGTCATTTGATCCAATGAGGTACAGTAAAAGCTGGATATATGCAACAGAAGTTTGGCTGGATATATGCAACATCGCTGTCCCTTCCACTTGGGGGGAACCCCCTAAGCCGAACCGAGCCGCTCGGCGCGGAAACCGTGTAATATGATCCGACCGTAATATCGGTATAACTAATACTAATTGAACGATAAAACTTTTTTATTTTTAACTTTTTCTTAATGAAACTTTTACTAACGCATTTGTGAGATTTTTCTGATTAAAATGGTACCAAACACGATATGATTTGAATTATATTTATTTATTAAAATAATAATAAAACTGTAATAATAGCAAAGTACTAAACTGGTCGATGGCTTCATAAACTTATTGTTGCCACGGTTCAGTTCAGAATATTTCTAAGTAGCGGAACTATTGACTGCAAATTAGGTGCTTTATGACGTTAGGAACAGCCCGTGATTTCCATGAAACCGGACAGTTTCTTCCTATTGAAAATTAAAGTAATTTACAAGCTAACAGTAATAACAGAATGATAATAGAATAAATAAACAATAATAATAAAATAAACAATATAGAATTGACATCTCGGCTACATATGTATAAGGCAGGCCGTACACCAAAGATACATCAAACACGCATGTTGTGTACGAACGTAGAATAGGTAACGCGGCACGGTACAAACGATTTGTACGGACACAGAATCGATACCAAGACTGGATATATGCCACGTTTAAATGCCCAGAATCGACACCTCGGCTGGATATATGCAACGTTTGAAACCCGAGCCGACACCGCAACCGGTTTTCATTTCCAATCGTCCTTTGCTTTTCGTCAACTTTTAACATCAATTTTAGCAAGTAATTATAATTCAAACTATATCGTGTTTGGTACCACTTTAATCACAAAAATCTCACCAATGCGCTAGTACAAGTTTCATTAAAAAAAAGTCAAAAATAAAAAAGTTTTTTGATTCAATTAGGATTAGTCACACCGATACGTTTCGGCTCTTTCCTTTGATCATCGGACCTCTCTCTTTCCTCCACTGTCTGTCCTTTTCTACGTTCACGCTTGGCTGTTCGTCCCGTGTAACCCGAGATTCGACACCTCGACTGGATATATGCAACGTCTGGGTCCCAATGTTTGTTGCATATATCCAGCTTTTACTGTATTCGGTTGGTGAGCGAATAATTTTGTGACCCACTGTATTTCCCTCAGGCCTTGACTTTTCCCAACATTTGGCAGCGATTAGCCCTGACGTCGTAATCCTCTTGACCGTCTAGCAAACGGTCGATGTTTCGCCTACGTTTTTAAAAGTTGACTGCAATAAAAGCATTGTACACATTGCAGGCATTTCTTCCGTTGGCGCTCACCGATCGGGTGATCACAGTTCCTACCTTGTTAGAAGTTTGCTGACAGTTTCAAACGTAGAAAGGGACAACAAGTGAAAGGGGGACTGCCGATTATCACGATCGTAGCTACTGCCTTTTTCATTCGTTACCCTTCTCTTAGTTCGAAACTTTTTATCGTCAATTTAACAAGTAAATACAGTCCAACTTGTATCATGTTTGGTATCATTTTAATTAGAAAAATCTCTCCAATGCGCTAGTAAAAGTTTCAATGAGAAAAAGTGAAAAATAAAAAAGTTTTATAATTGAATTCGTATTAGTAACACTGATACGTTTCGGCTCCTTGCTTTGAATCCTTGGACCTCTCTCTCCTTCACTATCTGTCCCTTTCTACGTTCACGCTTGGCTCGCTCCGCATGTAAACACAGAATCGATACCTCGGCTGAATAAATGCAACCGAGATTGGGACACAGTGGTTGCATTCCAGCCTAGGTGTCGATTCTGTGTTTACATGCGGCGCAAGCCAAGCGTGAACGTAGAAAGAGACAGATAGTGGAGGAGCGAGAGGTCCAAAGATTCAAAGCGAGGAGCGGAAACGTATCGGTGTTACTAATACGAATTCAATTATAAAACTTTTTTATTTTTGACTTTTTGTCATTGAAACTTTTACTAGCGCATTAGAGAGATTTTTCTGATTAAAATTATAGCAAACACGATATAGTTTGAATTGTAATTACTTGCTAAAATTGATGTTACAAGTTGGCGAAAAGCCAGAGAGATCGAAATCAAAACCAGCCGAGGTGTCGGCTCTGTGTTTTCAAAGGTTACATTTATCGAGCCGAGGTGTCGATTCTGCGTCCGTACACACCATTTACATGCAGCCGAGGAGTCGATTCTATGTTATTTATTCTATTATTATTGTTAGTTTGTAAATTACTTTAATTTTCAATAGGAAGAAACTGTCCGGTTTCATGTAAATCACGGGCTTTTCCTAACATCATAAAGCACCTAATTTCCAGTCAATAGTTTCGCAGCATATTCTGAATAAATAAATAAATAAATATAATTCAAACTATATGAAGTACATTATTGTACTTTACAAACAATAATAAAGTACATTATTGTAAGACTAAC